ATCAAGTAAAAAATGGTCATGAAGGACATTACCGGGACAACTGGCAAAATGTGAATAAAAACCATATATCACATATTAGATAATAGTATATCAAACCTGAATTTCCTAATTATACAGTTGTTACATAATAGAATCTTATTTTTAAGAAACATACGCTAAAGTACTTTTGGGTTAAAATGGACATGATATCTGCAACTTACTCTTAAATGGTTCCTAAGTAGTATGTTAGGATGATAAAGAAAGCATGACAAAATGTTAACAAATGTTGAATCTTGGTAAGATTACTGGAACTCTTTGTACTATTGTTGTAATTTTTCTGTCAATTTGAAATATTTTCAAAATACAGATTCAAATATTTTCCCTCCTTTTTGGTTAGGAAATAATGTTCTCAGAATCTTCTAGTCTATTAAGACCACTTATCCCCTTTGGAGTTTCTCCTGTTCTCTAAATGTAGATGGTGTTGCCCAAAGTCCAGGCTTGACCCTTTTACCCTATTCTGTTCCTTGGCAAACTCAGCCTCTCCTAAAGCTTGAACTCTAAAATAATAATAATAATAATAATAATAAAATAAATAAAAGATTCTTCAACCTCTTCTAGCCTTAACTTCTCTACCAAGGTACAGGTCTGCAGCTCCAGCTGTACCAACCAAGTATTTCCACCTTGACTTTCCATCAGTTCTTCAAACTCATCCAAAAGTAGCTAACACCAAAATCTCATCACTATTTTCTCCTTCCCAAGCCAACTCTTTCACTAATACTTCCTACCAGTTACCAACTTTGTTCCCTCAGTCAGTTAGGTTTGACACTTGGGAGTCAAATTTGACTGCTTCTCTATCATATCCAATCACAAGCAAAATCAGGTAATTTCCACCCTCTGACAACCATTTTTTTTTTCATCTCCATTGTCTAATTCAGGCCTTCATTACCTTTCTAGTATCTTTGGTCTCTATCCACTCCAACATCTCTTCTCTACTGTCTTCAAATGTTTTATGCACCAATCAGATTTAACCATTCTTTTCACATGTGCTCTATACTTTCACAGTGGCTCACAGTACTTCCTCTAACAGGAATGCTTCCTTTTCCTCGTTCTTTGCAAGATCAAAATCCACCGGCCTTTCAGGTTCCAATCAAAAAGCCACCTCCTAATGAAGCTTTGACCAATCTCTCCAGATGTACTTGAGAGGCATGAAATGCTTGATTTTTAAATGATAGTTATCACTCTCAATCATGTAAGGATGTTTTTACCTATCTTTTCCATATTAAGATTCAGCTTACTGGTTTTCCTATTTTCGACCACCACTAATCACCTCTGACATGGGATTCTTTCCTAATAGGGAACAGTTTGCCAGCTTTCCATTTCTTAAGCAAAATACACAGTCTTCAGGTTTTCTGATAGTCATGGCCAACAATGACAAAACAGAAGTAAAGGAGCTCATTTCCACTGCTTTTCTTACCTTTTTTCTTTTCCTTTTAAAACTAAGTGTGTGTGTTGTGGGGGGGGGGGAGGGGGGGGAGAAGAATAACATTCCTCAGAGTAGGGATTTTAAAAGTACTTGGCTCTAAACCTGACTCAGAGTCAACATTTCTGATTAATAGTCAGGAAGACAGCTTTATTATTTCTAGTGATAGCAAGACTATTTTCCAGGAGGCTCTTCTACTTTCAGAAAGTAAGCTCAAGCCTGCCTGTTCAAACATCCACCTTGCTGTTCAAGTGGAGTATAAAGAAAGTAGATTTTCTAGTTAGCTTTCTATTTAGCTATATAGCTATTTATCCTATAGAAATGGAGTACAACAAGTTTGTCACAATCTTTTCCTATTTATTCTGGTTATATAAACATAGCCTAAAATTACATTAGCTTTTGTGGCAGGCCTGTCACTTGTTAACCAAAGCTGTAAAATGAAGTCAACTAATACATCTAGGTTTTTTTTTTCAGGAATATTAGCCCTGAGCTAACATCTGCTGTCAATCCTCTTTTTGCTGAGGAAGACTGGCCCTGAGCTAACATCCGTGCCCATCTTCCTCTACTTTATATGTGGGATGCCATCCCAGCAAGGCTTGATAAGCGGTGCTAGGTCCACGTCTGGGATCTGGGCCAGCGAACCCCAGCCACCAAAGCAGAGTGTGTGCACTTAACTGCTACACCACCAGGCTGGCCCCACATCTAGGTATGTTTTTACTCTATTCAACCTAAGTTTCAACCTCCTTGAATTTACATACAAATTACTTCAACTTCTCAATTTCTGCACATGCTTCAGACTGTTAAATTTATAAATGCCGTCTTCCCATAATAGCTATGACTTCTTGCTTTAACGTCATCTGAACATTTTCTAAGCACGTCCTTAGGTTTTCATCTAAATCTGAAATCCAGTCCTAAAAGGTGACAGTTCATTATGAACTTATCCTCCGATTTTTAGTATCTTTGATTATCCCCTACCAGATATCCTTAACTGGAATAGGTACAAATGTAATCAGATAATAAATTATGTAAGTACTAGGTACAAATTATTAGAGAATATATTTAGAGTGGTTACCAAACAGTTTGGGTTCATATCCTTAAGGTACTTACAACTCACTATGGTAAGTCTTTAAAATTATGTATTTCAGATCTACAACCATGCAGCACCATACAGATGAATCTCAAACGTAATACTGGGTGAAAGAGGACAGATACAAAACACAGCGTGTGATTCCACTTATTACAAGTTTGGATAGGGGAGGGAAGCGATAGGAAGGGGGCATGAAGAGGTCATGAAGGAGCTTATAATATTGTCTTGATCTGGGTGCTGGTTACACAAGCGTGTTCAGTTTGCGAAGTACATTTATGAATGGTGTACTTTTCTGACACAAATTACACTTCAATAAAAAGATTTTCAAAAAGTCTTATCACTGAGTATTCAAAAACTAGATCAGGCAAGTTCTGAAACATGAGTTTTACCAATTGGGTTAACAAATACTGGTGGATGTTCATGATATATCCAAGCTTCTTGGAGGATGAGTAAAACAAAACAAATTGTCTCATACCAGCAGCTTAGTTCTGATTTACACCTAACTTCAAAAATGAAATAGGGAACAATGATATGAAATACTGGAAACCTGTTCTAACACAAATTACTTCAGGTTATCTAAACAAGAACTTACAGCAGGTATCTAGTAAGACACACCATAATCTTACTTAGACATTCATTTTAAGTTAAAAACACATGTATACTATGTTCCTTACTCATTTCTCTTTAAATATTGGTGCTATCATAAGGAAGGACAAGCCGACTCAAGGGGATGGTGCACCTAGCAACTGTTACTCTCATGTGTTAACTACAATTCTGCATTTTCTTCACTAAGGAAGAAATACTGTAAGTTTTCATCGACAAGGTTAAATCCTTAAAGCTCCCTTACTCCTTCCTTTAGTCTACCTGAGCTAAAGTTTCTTCCCTCCAGTACTCTTTTACCTTACTTACTTGATATTTACAAGAGGCTAAAATTGTTTACTATAAATTCTTAACCTGAGCTTTTGCAGACAAAGGACTCCCAGTGAGAACCTGCTCCCCAGTGATTATCAGGATAGGTTTCTAAACTAATTCTGTCAATTTAACAAAGCAATGCCAATAATTAAGTTTGGAAAGCTGTTCTTTAAAAAAGAAAAATGTCAAAGTTTAAAGTTACTATTCTGAAATAGCAACACGCTAGGACATCACTAAAAATTGATGTCTTCACAGTAAGATAGTCTCCAGAAAGCTAATTATGGAAGCTATATCATTCCTTTTACTAAAGAGTCAAAATAAAACAGTTTGGGCTTCCTAAGAATGGGTTGTATTATTTTTGAGCTATCAGTGTCTATATTGTTCCTATATTTGGCAATGGTTTCACCTGACTGATTCCCTGAGAACTCTGCAAACGATAATTGCAGAAGACAGAAAACAACGATGGCACGTACAGGAACAGGGGAAAGAAGGCTTGACAGTAGCTTCAACTTTAGCACAATAACTGAATAACGCACTGGATATCAATGGAAAGAGAGATTATCTCACTATATGCAGAGACAGACTGATTGGTGAAAAGCTTCTCAACTTGCTAATTCTAATTTAAATAGGGAAGGAAACAAAGGGGTCATTAGGGAACTCTAAGTCAATGTGAGAAAGGTATATTAGTTACTTAAATTTTGATTAGAAGATACTCTGCTAAAAGAATCCTGGAAATAAAAGATTCTAGTCTTTCAAGTAAGGCAAAACCAAGAACCTTCATTTATCTAGGGCAGATTTAATGAAAATCGGCACACGGCTTTTAAAAGCTGCCCCTACTGAAAATGATTTCCAAGATTTCATAAATAGGAGCGTGAAACAAGGTATCTATCAACACTGATAGACAAATTTATATTTCAAAGTAAGTAGATAATGTAAGGAATTCATAGTCCTTTAAACTCCCGAATGGTTCTATTTAATAGAATCACCCTTGCAAAATACTTATTTGCCAAACTAGCAAATTTTTAAAAAATCTTAAATTTATAATAGTCAAAAATGAACAAGGCAATTTGGTGGGATATAACACAAACAAAATCTCTGGTGAAGTCGTAGTTAATATTCGTAAATCTTAACACACAAATCTTCATGAAAAAGAATACACAGTCCTATAATACTTTATTAGCTAACATGCCTATTAAAAAGTCTGTAGATGCTGGCCAAGCAAAGTTGTAGATAGCTGAAATTATTAAAGCTAGCCACTACTGCTCTTCTGAATTGGAAATCTAACAAGCTAGTATTAAAGTTAAAAGGAAGCCACTAGTCAGTTTCTACTGGGTTGGGCTTGTCACCTCGGTACCAACAGGCCAACTTACAGTGAAGAATGCTGATCTAGGATATAAGTTCTGATTATATTTTGGCATTAACACACTATAGACAAGTATCTGTTAACTTCTTTGGCTATGGAAAACAGACTCCAAGAAGAAGCGTAAATATTTTCAACCCATGAGACACTACAGATATAGCAACTTGCCTCATTTCTGATACCTTAAATGTTTCTGGTATCTAAAAAAGAAAACAGATAAGGAGTATTTAGCTGTAAGAACAAATGATGAGCAGGCAACTTCTATGGTTGTTTTATGAAACAAAAGAAATCTTTTAATATTAGACCCAAATTATAAAAAATAAAGCTCAAACCTTTCTACATCATTTTGATGAAAATAATAGGTATCATTCATATTGATGTCATGGTAGCTCATGAAAGTTAGCTATTTGAAATAAATTACCATACAATCTGAAAACTATTGTTATTACATTTCTAAATAGAGTGCTATTTTTCCTTTTTCTAAGGGAAAAGTACAAAGTACACCACAAAGTACTCACCCTGGATACATCTGGTAAGTCATTTGAATGATTAAACCTTCATACTTGTTTCATGCCACAATTTACACTTATGTCTTAATTTATATTGCTGTAGCTATACAATTTAGAAATTGAATTTATAAACATGGTACTATAACTTTTAAAACTTCTTGTTCTATAGGTAACTATTTAAAAATATTTTTAGTTAAGTAAGGAACACATCACTAAAAAGATACTTTGTTAGGAAATTTCTTTAAAGTGACACACAGCAAATCAAGCCTAAGAATTAAAAGACTGTTACCATTTCTAGGCAATGTAGACCATGTCTTAACATGATATGTACATGCACTTACCAATACTCTTTCCTAATGAAAGAGATGGAGCTGAGTCCATGAGTGTTATCCAAACTATGCCAGAGAACACAAATGCGTTGCCAGGCAGAGGTAAAAAGAATCTAACAAAGCTTTGTGTGAATTTTAAAAAGATCGTTTGTGCTCAACTTCTATTTATTAGACACAGAATGGAGTGCTAATAAATATCCAGCAAAATAAATGAACAGAGCATATACTACTTAAATGTGTATTAAGCAGAAAGATAAACCAAAGTATCTTTTGCCATAAATGAACTCCAAGGCTTCAGTCTATATATTAAAAAATTAAAAGTAAAATTTATACAACATTGACGTGAGAAAACAAACCATTTTAGGGGTTTACAAAACAGTAATGCAGATCTAGTAAATTTTAGCAAACAAACTTGATGTTAAGTTTCTTGCCGGGGCCGGCCTGGTGGCACAGCGATTAAGTTCGCATGTTCCGCTTCTCGGCGGCCAGGGGTTCACCGGTTCGGATCCCGGGTGTGGACATGGCACTGCTTGGCAAAAGCCACACTGTGGTAGGCATCCCACTTATAAAACAGAGGAAGATGCGCATGGATGTTAGCTCAGGGCCAGTCTTCCTCAGCAAAAAGAGGAAGATTGGCAGTAGTTAGCTCAGGGCTAACCTTCCTCAAAACAAAAAAAGTTTCTTGCCAAGAATTTAACAATGGCTATTACTTTGATACCTTGGTCTTTTCCCTCCTCCAATTTCTCAATATGAAATAACATTTTGCTTTGAGTCATTAAGGCTTTTACAGAGAAATCATATAAAATAACACAAAATTAAAATAACTGTAGGTAGTTTATTTTATAGAATATATTTTTATATTAAAATACACAAGGGTAAGTGGATCTTTCATATAATAAAATCCAATAGAATATGTAAATCCTTCCAAAAAGTAAATATACTTAAAAGTGCAGTAAAAAGAAAAGCACGTTTATATTCTATTTAAAATATAGATTGTCCTTTTGGTTTATTTTGCTGCTTTGTCCCATGCTAGATACCACGTGATTTCCCTCCCCGCTAAAATAACAAAGATCAGTTTTAATGATGAAAAACCAGTACAATGCAAAGCAATTCATGCATACCCTTTTGCATGTATACATTCCATATCTAAGTATTCATACCTATCCCAGAGGTTCTTTGATTCCTGAAACGTGTTCAAATGGAACGCTTGGTAGAAAGCAGTTGAAGGATTCCTGTGAGATCCAAGAATCAAATGGAAATGAGGTTGAGAAAGTACAGTACAATCACTACTTTTCAAAAAAAGACGGAAGATTTTAGATTTCTAATACAGTGTAACTACTTTAGTAAAAAAAAAAAAAAAAGCCTTCTGAAAAACATTTTGAAAGAAATGAAAAACTAGATGAAATCCAAAATCCAGCAGACCCCCAACAATTCAGTTCCGAAAGAAAGGGGTAATACAGATAAAATTCAATACTAACTAGCATCCAAATGTGTGTGTCTATGTGTACATGTTTATATACATATGAATGTGACCAGTTCATAGGCTAATCAATACTACTCTGTATCAGATACCTTTATAAATTCCTGTAAGTTCAGCAGTTTAATAAAGCTGTTCTCAGGTACAGTATTCATGTGAAATAAGTTAAGCTACACCTTCATAATATAAAAACTCCTCATAGGATCTATTTGATAGGGTTTGACGACGAACAGTGAGTTCTTTTCTGCATTGGACTTGGACACAATTTCCAGCTTCAGAATCCATTTATGTATGTGTGGTTTCTCTGGGTTTGGGCAAAAAATTGTGCCGCAATTTTACAGCAGCTTTCTAATTTCTTCCATTAGTACAGTGCCCCTTTAAGGGCTAAGAGCTTATACAGCTCAATCACCATCCATTTCTACTATCCCCTGGCGACACAGTCCCTGGGGCTTCAACCATAGATTTTTAACTGATGGGCTCATGGGGCAAGCTCCCAGAATACATGATTCACCTCACATCTCAGGAGTGGTTTCTCAGGGGACTAAACTTTTGACCAACCTGTTCTCTAACAGCACCCCCCCACCTCAGCATATTTCCATAGCCTCCCCCACCCCGAACCTGTACAGTAGAAAGCTAAAAAAACTTGCCACATCACTTCTGAAATTCTTGACCCACGCTGCAACAGAGTAACAGCAGCAAGCTAAGAATATAAGTGCTTATTATATACCAGACACTACTCTGTTTTACACTTATTAACTGAATTCCAAAACAGCCCTAAGAGGAAGCTGTTATTATCGTTCCCATACAGATAAGAAAACTGGGTAAGAAGCACTTTTCTTGATGTCATGGAACTATTAGGTGGCAATCTGGTCCCAGAGTTTATGCTCTTAACCACTATGCTAAATATACAGCAGAGTTAAATTTTAACCTTTCTAGGTCTGTCTCTTTATCAGTTAAATGGTGATATTACTATCTAGCCTTGCAAAGTAGTTCAAGAACTGCACCTATACGTAAAGGTCCTGGCGTACAGTAAATGCTCAATAAATGACAGGTCAATTTTATCATCAAAATGAGGTTTAGATAGTGCGTGTCAATTCTGAGACCCTAACAAGTACCTTAAGAGAGTCTCTGCAATAAGAATTGCAGTACAGTAAGACAACTATTTCCAAGTTCTACTGGAATAGCAATAAGTATCAAAGATTTCAAACAAAACAAACACTCCACAGAATTCCATGATTTCAATACTCAGATTAAGACATTGTGTTATGGAATTTTTTTTGCGAGGAAGATTAGCCCTGAGCTAACATCCGTACCAATCTTCCTCCACTTTTTTAATACATGGGTTGCCGCCACAGTATGGCTGACGAGTGGTGTTAGGTCCGCACCTGGGATCCGAACCTGCAAACCCAGGCTGCGGAAGCAGAGTGTGCTGAACTTAACCACTAAGTCACAGGGTCGGCCCCTGAATTTTTAAAAAATACTTTTTAGATGACAATTTTAATTTTAACCAGTAGGCTACACCTTAGATGTTGCAAAACTAGGAAAGGCAGACACTACATGCCAGAGCATCACGGAAGCAGCTGTGTGATCAATGAGGAGTCTTTAGTATCTGTACTTCTTTGCTTACCCTACACTTCAACTCTTCTGTTCTTTTAACCCTTTCTCTACTTTTCTCTTGACTAGGTCTAAGGTAATCAAAGGCACTGATTAGACATACTAATATCAAGGAAAGATTAAGAGACTGCTAAACTACTGTTTATTTAACAGCTGTGACCTCTCTCAAGATATATTTGTCAGGCTCCTTTTTTCAGTGTACTTAGAAATCAGTCTGCCAAATTAAATGAAAGCCAACTGAACCAACTGAAAACTCAATTTGGCTTTTTTACCAGGCTTACCCAGGACCACATGGGAACAAGTTTGCTAGTCACACAGGTCTGTTAGGAGACCTTGGGTTTAAAATAAACAGTGACACAAAGAGGAAGGTAGTAAATACAAGAGAGTAACAAAGAGTAAACCTGGAAGTTATTCTGCAAGTCTGGAACTTAAAATTCATTAAAGAGTATTTATAATATATTTATAAGGATGACATTCTTTAAAGAACTTCAGATCCCCCAACTCTGGAAAAATATATACATGTATATTTAATTTGAATCAAATTCATATGCCAAATAAATTGGTTTTAAATGAAGTCATATGACTAAAGTTATGAAATTTCAGGACTTTTACAGCATAGACTCTAATAATGAAATGTTTCTCATAAGTCAAATGTAGAAGTGAAAAAAGAACATGTCTGCAGTTAGTCGTATATCCTAGGGCAAGAAAAGAACTTGTGAAATAAAATACTATAAATGGACCTTTAGAACATCTCAGAACAAACACACTAAGGTTGCAAAAGCTGGCAGTTAACAATCACTTTCTACATATACTCAAAATGAAGAAGCCATATGGAGCTATACAATCTATGCACTACAGAAAAGCTTAAATAGTCTAGATTCCAAGGATAAACATTTAGATAGTCTTATTATAAAATATGAAGTTTTTGGTTTCTCAAATACTTCAGTTGGGATGTTATCCATGAACTTAGAAATTTTTAGCCAATAACAATTAGTCTCAAAACATTGATTAACAAGCATAGTTAAAGGAGTCAAGTCTGTGAAACCTAGCTGATCAATTTTAAGAGCCATTTGTAAATATCAAAGGGCCTGATCATCAAAGAATTCTGTTTTGGAATGGCATAAAATTGAGGAAATGAAAATCCCAAGAAAAATGCTGTTAATGGGGATCATTTCAAGGTTACAGTCTATGAAATCTGAAGACACCAAGAGGCAACTGACATATTAAAAATTTATTAGAAAGAAATAATAAATTTCATGCAGCTTGGTCACAAATTCTCTTCTTCCCAAAAAATGAAATTTGAAATCAGGTTTCTAAGAACATTTGATGTCAATGTAACCTACTAATCTAAATATAGAGCCAACGAGGCACTTCTTAGGAAGACTGAGGTGTGGTTTATTCTGAATTTATATCAGCCACCTAAATAGAAATGCTGTTTTCCTATTTGCAGACATTTTTCAAAACCAGTGAACAAAACATTCTTTTCCCCCTGACTTTACACACCAGTCTGTCACATTAGTTTCCAACTACGTGAAAGCAGTACATCAGAAGGTGACTCAAAATGTGACCTACGTCTACCTGCTTTACTAAGATACTATCTTTGTAGGGTAACTATAACAGAGGAAAAACATACATATATACTATACCTCAAAACTAAGCTATAAAAATTGTTTACCTTTAAAGGTTGAGGTATGTGAGCCCTGAACTCAGTGATATACCTTCTCCTTCTTTTATGTCAAAACTCAACTTCCGAGAATCTCTAAATAGAAACCAAGGAAATACAATAAGGAGAGGAACAACGAGGGCCATCTCCAACATTACTATTTAAGGATTTCAAATGATTAAAAAGATCCTTTAGGTGAAGGGTTACAACACAACAGATCAGCGGCTACTTAGCTTTTCCTTCCTCCTATCTTACAGTCAGCAAAGTAATAAAACAAAATTAACTCTGGGGATATGCAAGAGCACTGGCTTTGGAGTCAGAAGGCCTGAGTCTGAATCTACACTTTGTTGCTTAACAGCTGTGTGACTCAAATGCTCAGAGCCTCAATTTCTCTAGTCTGTAAAAAGGGGAGGGAAACACTTCCTTACAGTTGCTGAAAAGATCAAATGAGATACGTAACATAGGGCCTGACACAATTAAGCTCAGTTTGTGTTTACTATAGGGTCATAGTTTCCAAATTATGCTGTATAAAAACCAACTTTTGGCAGAGTATCTTAACATATACCAAATATATCATCATTATTAAGGTAATATCAAGGCAAACAGAATACTTAAGGCAAATAGTATGCTTAAACTTAGAGCTAGGTATATGAAGTTATTTAGTACATTCCAGTGGATGAGAATCCTGACTTCTGGGATTCAGAACTCCCCCAGGATTTCCTCATACACAACTTTATCACAAGATTTTAATTAAAAATATAATAATCACTGAAAAGGATACTGAAATGGTTCCAAGATATGTACTACTTTAATGATAAAAGCTTCAAGAAACACCTTTAACAGCAATCATAAACTTAGGATAAAAATGTCAACTTCTTACCATGACATTTAAGCCCTCCACTCTGGTTCCCATAAAATTAATCACATCATTTTCCAAATCTGACATATTCTCACTCGCTGACATTGTTACACAAATTGCCTTCTCCCTCCACTTGGAAAATTATCCTCTTATCAGTGACCTAATTTTAAGATTCAGTTTGAGTTAGCTTCAGAAGAATGTACAATACTAGGCTGCTTTTGAGGACTGAAACTGGGTGGCTGGGGGACAGAGGTGGCAGAGAGGCTTTCAATTTATACTCCTGTATATTTTGAATTTTGAACTGTAAAAATGCATTACCTATACAAAGAATAAATTAATTTTAAACGGAAGTCAGTCTAACTACTTCTGCCCCACACCAATCTGACATAATGTCGTAAACTGTTCCATTTACTACATTGCAGCCTATAATGTCTATCAAAGTATAATTTAATTATTTTCATATAACCTGAGATCTTATAGGACAGGATAGTCTTATTTCTGTATCCCAGTACCTACTACTCATAGAAGACAAAGAAAGTTGAATGATCGACATATTGTCACTTTAAATGTTTTCCTGGGCATTCAACCAACTAACTGAGTACATATTTGCAAACTTCAT